TCTCTCTCTCTCTCTCTCTCTCTCTCTCTCTCTCTCTCTCTCTCTCTCTCCTCTCTCACTCTCTCTTTAAAACAAAGTAAATGAAATGGAAAGATGGCATATTATTATTATTATTTATTTTCTTTTTATTCAAAGCTAACATGTCTTCCGAGGAAACATTTTACACTTCTGAGAACTTCACGAAGGATATTTAGGGATTCCACTTCAGTAGATGTTTTATTACACAGTAATTTCCTTAGTCTTTCCTCATGTATCTCTTAAAAGGGAGACTTTGGTTATTGACCACTTACTAGTATATGTGTTCAGTGGCCAGTCTCAAATAAAACACTCCATTAAAATCCTCCTGCAAATATCAAGGTGGTTTAAAAAAAAAAACCAAAAACCTCTCTAGCCTTAAGGTTAGAAGCCAAGAGCCAGTAGATTCTGTGCCAAATCAAACTTTACTCAGCTTCAGATTTGAAAACACTTTAAAGGTGTGGTGGAGGTACCCAGAGGAATGAAGAGGACTGTAAACTTTCCCATCTGAAATGAAAAGTTACATGGAAGGGGCTATTGCAGTCAGAGAGGGTTCATGGTGAGGACAAGATCTCCAGGGAATTGGAACCCTCTATGGCAGAAAGAAGGCAGGGAGTCTGGGATTTCTGTTTCTCTGCGCAGGCTCCACAGGAGGACACATTGAAAAGGTGGTCAGAAGGTCAGTGCCAGTTTAGATACTGAAGAAAACTCTGGAGAAGGGTGCTGTAATTCAGGAAAGTGTTGAAATTGGACCCAGCCAGAGTCAGCTCTTGAGGAACCTTGGGGCAAAGGGAAGAAAGGAACCCAGACAAATAAACCCCACAGATAGTTTAGTTCTCGTTTTTACCTTTGTTCTTTAGGCCTGTTTTTGGTACTTTGGCCACTGGATACAACTCATCAGTTCAGAAATATTGTGGAGGAGTGAGAAGAATTAAGAGACAAATTTGCCTCAGGTTGGGAAGAGTAAAACAGTGAATTCTGTAGGAATTCAGACCTGAGGTGTGGTCCCAGGTCTGTCACTTGCTAGCCATGTAAACTTGAAAATATTTTAAGTTCTTCATCTGTCAAGTAAGTCCAGTAAGCCCTATTCTATAGGATTGTTGGAACATATATAATGTATACAAAGCACCTGACAAAGTAGCTGGTAAATATCACGTCTCTAATCAAGGAATAATCATTATGACTACATTTATGCTAGAAGAGAACACTTTTGTCTCTGGGAAGTCTTTAACTAGAAATCAGAGAATATGCAGTGCTCTGGTACAGAGAAAACCCAAACTACCAAAAAGTCAATAAGCAAATAACAGGAAAATTTCCCCAGTAGAGAATATATAATTTAATATGGGGGCAGGGATTTCACCAGGTTTCAACTCAAAGCTTGTAGACTTCATGTCAAGGACCAACAGTTCTCCCTGCAGGAAGCCCTCTGTCAACAATATATCTCTATTTTCATTTATTTTGCTACCAATAAAATCTAGCTCTTCCTTGGAGTTCTACCAAATAAGATATCCCAATTAATGGAATATAGACTCTGGATCTCCCAGCTCAGGGTAAAGAGTGCCAGCCCAGTGGTTTCTGGCCATATCACCTCAAAAGAATGTTTCAGAGCTATTTAGGGAAGCCTCTTACCCTGCCAGCAATAGTGGCACCCAGTAACAAGAGTATCCCCCACTTATGTATCAGAAACTCTCTGAAAACAATATTCGGAGAGTTTCAAATGCACTGGAACAGGAGTGCCACACCTCTTTCATTCCTACCCTAGGCAGAAATTCCTTCTGCTTTACAATATCTAAGTGTTAAAGATAGCTTTTCATTCTAGGGCTACTCTCTCAACTATGGGGCTCACCATCCAAGAGTCTGGTACCTGCTCATGATTAACACAACTTCATTTAGCCCAACATGGGGCTAACTTAAAAATGACCTCTCAACAAGTAACTTGCAATGTCCTGAAACACAAAGTTCCTTCACTCGGAATTTACACTTGACTGCTCTCACCAGAAGCCCTCCCATTCCCACCACCACCTTAACTCCTTCCTTTATTTGTTCTGTGTTGAGTATGTAACACCATATTCATTCTATAATAACTCCTCTGAGACTTTAAAAATGTATGGGGAGGGGGCTGGGGATGTGGCTCAAGCGGTGGCACACTCGCCTGACATGCGTGTGGCCCGGATTCGATCCTCAGCACCACATACAAACAAAGATGTTGTGTCCACCGAGAACTAAAAAATAAATATTAAAAATTTTAAAAAAATGTATGGGGAGGTGACTCAAAGTGGGGTAGGGAGGGAAGGCATGGGAGGAAAATTATCTCTAGATAGGGAATAGGGGTGGGAGGGAAAGGGAGGGAGAAGGGGAATAGCCAGGATGGTGGAAGGAGACGGTCATCATTATATACATGTATGAAGATGTGAATTTGGTGTCAACAAACCTTGTATACAAAGAGAGATATGATAAATGGTGGTATAAAGGTGTATTAAGAATTGTATGGAAAAAAATAAGAGAGCTCATGTATAATGGCATAATTTGGTGTGAACATACTTTATATATATACAGAGTTACAAAAAATTGTGCTGTGAATGGATGATCATGAATGTAATGCACTCCACTATTGTCATGTATGTAAGAAATAAAAAAAAAATGTATGGGGAAGGAAAGGATTTCATTCATCTTAGCATCATCTCTACTAACACACAACACAGCCCTCCAAAGAACAGATGCTCAATTCAGGATGAGAATAAATGAGTCACTGAGCAAGGAATACAATTTATTACTATTTAATTTTATCTGCATAGTTGAATTGTTGAAGGCAAACAGATATATATCTTTGAATTTTACAATAAGAAAATAGAGAGAAAAGTGAATAAGGTAGACCAACAGTTGACTAGGTTTTGCTTTGTTTTCATCTGTTTTAAGACCCCAATTACATTTCATGAGTTTTTCACACATTTCCAGGAAAATTGCCATTCTGAAGGTGTTTTATTTTGTTCACTAACCCCCAAAAAGATTTAAGGGTTTTAAAAATCTATTTGAAAATACCAAAATTCTTGCACTTAAAACTTACAACATCAATAAATATGTGATCTATATCATTTATAACCAATGAATCTAAATTTAAATAAATATTCTATTAAAAGAAAAATACTTGAAAGATATTAATGTATAATGAATAGAGACATTATGATCTCTCTAGGACCATGTCAGTCTCCTGGTATTATATGGTAGGAAGCTCTCTGCAAAAAATGTAGAATCTGCCTCTGATCTCACTAAGGGCAGGAGGAACTGCCAGGTGTGACCTTAGAACATGTATCCAGGTGTGACCTTAGAACATGTATGGACGTTGGCAGCAGCACCATGCCTGGTTGCAGCTCTGGGTTGGGATCTCTCTTCCTCATCTCTCAAAGCCTCTTCATAATGGGATGGGAAGGCACTGGGGACAGTATCATTGACCTTGGCCAAAAACTCTAGGACTTTCATCTTGCTAGTTTCAGCAAGAGATCGGGGGCCCCATAGGAATTGATAGTGTGGAGGATCACTACCAGGCACCTGCTGGTACTCCAGGTACTGCTCCTGCACCAGATCTTGGGTGATAAGCTTTCGGGGCTCCCCAAAGATTATGTGCTTCTTCCCTTCATAGATCCCCAAAATATTCAGGAATTCCCAGATCTCCTCCTCAGAGGCAGAGTTGCCATTTAAGAAGATCACACCCAGGAGAGGCATCAGAAGCCCATTCTTGGGAAAGTCCAAGCTAGTCAGACTTCCACTGTTGGTGACATCTTGCTTGCTGACAAGGGTATAGGAGTTACCACCAGGCTTGACTTCCTTCAGCTCAAGGCCAAAGATCAGATCGACACGGTCAGAGGCTTTCTTGAGGATCTCTGGAAACTGCTCCTTGAACCTTTTGTTGACAATCCTCAGCATCTCTCTCTTCATAATGGGCTCTTTCATTTTATACTTGTACAGCAGGTACTGCATCAGCATCCCTGCCTTCTTGGTGAGAAGATCTCCCTGGGCGCTCTCAGTGGAGGGTGGGATCATAGAGGTACTGGCACTTCCCTCCCCTCGGCTCTTGGCACCTTTACCAGACTTCTTGCGTGAAACACCTGCAGCAGCAGTGGTGGTAGGCTGGTAGGCAGTAGCAGAGGTGCTGGGGACAGCATCTTCAGAAACAGAAGAGGAGCAGGAGGGGGCCCCTTTTTCCTCAGCGGCCTGAGCATTCTTGAGACCCTGGGTCTCATCTTTGGCTTGGCGGCGCTTCTCACGAGCACGAAGCTTACTCTTTTGTCCCCGGGGCATGATGGCTGTGGTCAGGGACAGCAGGCAGGAATATGGGCTGGACAGCAGGTGTTCTTGGGACCTGGAGGAGGGAGAATGAGATCCAGTGAGCAGTTTTAGCAGGACACATCATTCTGTTTTTTTCAAAGCACTCTCTGCAGGTTTCCATGAGAACACTGCTCTGGAAACCCACCGGGCTCCTCTTCTTGGACCACCTGACCACTGGAAAACAAGGGGAGGAAATTATAGTGTGTTTTAGTCTGAAGCCTGCCAGGCTTCCCTGGGGCTGACTTAGTGACAGCAAGGGTTAGCAATGTGTTCTTTCGTGTGTTCAAAGGTCCTCTAAGTCTACACACACAGAATCAGTATATCTGATCTTGGTCAGGGTATGGCACTTCTTTCTTGTCTGCTCTGAAGCTGAGAAGCTCCCTTGTATTCAAGAATAGGAAATGTGTGTGGGGGGTTTCTCCCACCACTCCTTCAAACAGGCAGTGCTGACAATTCTGTAGGGGTATCTCTCTCTCCCTCTCCCCCCATCCCCACCTTCTTTCTCTCCTGTGCTCACTTGCCCTCAATATTCACTCAGGGTCCTCATTTTGTCTACACCTAGAGTCTGAAACCTTCCTTTCTACTAACTAGAGCTGCACTTTCAGACTCAGGCTCCTGCTTCCTTTAGACCTGGTACAAAGAAATGAGGAGGACTCTCAGCTGACAATCCTGCTCTAGGCATTCAAGGGATGAGCACCAGGACAGAGCCAGACTCTACTGTTCTTTGTAATTGGGGTTGAGGGAGTGGTACCTTCAGTCCTCATCCATGGATCATACTTTGAATCCTGGGAAGGGCTGGGGCTCCCCTTTCTGGACCCGAGGACATCATTAGAGTAAGGTTCACACCTATCCGTCCATCACACTTAATTGAGGATGTGGGAGTGGCTGCAACTGGTCCCACTGCTCATATTCTCCACAAGCTAAAAACTGCGGCTGGAAGGCTGACACCCTACGATATGTGGTTTTATTCATGATCCTCACTCAAGGTCTCCAATTGACTGGGAATCCTAAAATTCCTTCCCTTGCTGAATTGTCCAACTAAAACCCTCACTTCTCTGTTACTCCTGAAGAGAAACCAATGGGCACTTCTGCCTGACATCTATGCCTGGGGCCTCTCAGGCCTGACAAAGAGAGGGAATCTGTGGGACCCCTGTTGATATGGAGTTTCCTGAAGTCCTCATGGTCCTTTGTATGAGTCTTGGCACCACCTGAAAATCTTCTTCCTGCTAACCCGAGTCCCTCTGCTCAGAATAAGATTCTCATCTTCCTCACTCCTGAAGATGAGAGTGTGAGCCACATCCAGACAACTTTGTTCCCTAGGGTATCCCACTGTTTGGGGATCATAGGTCTCTTTAATCCTCACTCAGATAGGGTATAACCCCACTATTAGCCTCTCTAAGTATTCCAACATTATACCAAGGCTGTCATCTTGCTGTATCTCCAGGTCTGAATATGAGGGTATGACACATCTGTTAGGGTCTGTAAACAAGTCAAGATGGCGCCTGGCACTTTGCCAAGAGGAGTGGTTTGAGAAGTAACGCCAGTGAGCCATTAAGATGATAGAGATTCCTTAATGACTGACTGCTGTGTCTAGATTATGTCAATTAAGTTAAGCTGTGTGTAATCATTAAAATGATGAGGATTCCTTATTGGTTGACTGCTGTATCTAGTTTATGTTAATTAAGTTAAGCTGTGTATTCAGTTATGTATATATACTTTTCTGTCCCACAATAAAGCGGCTCCCGCTCCCACTATATCAACCTTCACAAGTTCCTTGTCACTCGTCCCCCCCCACCCTGGTTATTTTGCTGCAGCCAGACTGTGGCACACATCTGGCTACCTCTGCCTAGGATTTCCCAGGGCTGAGGTGGGAATCTGTGGACGCTCATTTTCTGATTTAGTGCTTCCTCAATGTTCTCCCTATCTTGACTTAATGCCTATCTACTTATGCTAATGCCCCCAACACTCTGAGACCCCTAGGAAGAAGTGAAAGTTTCTCATCTGGCCATGACTACCTGTTGGCTCCCAAGGCTGACAAACAGGAAGGGTTACTATGTTGCCCTAACTCTTATGGGATGGGTGGTTTTCTCAGTTCTCAGGGTCTTCTCCTTGATTCCTGGTACTAACTTGGAATCTTCCACTTGCTAACCCGAGGCTTCCTTTTACAATGTACCTTACTTCCCTTAGATGCTCCAGGAAGAAGTGAATCAGACTTACCATGTCACCATGCCCAGATCTTCCAGGTCTCATAGTAGTCATGGGAGTCTATGTGGATCAATTTCTGGGAGGAGTCTCCTTCATACTATTACCACCTCAATTCCTATTAGGAACCAGGCCAGGTCTCCCCACTATGCTGAATAGGAGCTCTTCAATTAAACCAAAGGATTTGTGTCCCTGAGAGTACCCCTGAGTAAAATGATAGGAAACTTCATCCTTAGTGCTATAATCCTGGTTTCTCAGGGCTGAAGGCAGAGGCAAGACTTTATATGTTTTTCTCTGTTCTGGAGTCTAATTCTTCATATAGAATTTGTACTTTGACACCTTTCATGGCCAAGGATTCCTCTCTTTCTGCTGAACTGGGGCAGCCAAACCTAAAACAAGGTTGTCATATCCTCAAGACCCTTCAGGGTAGAGTGACAAGGCACCTAAGTCTGATAGCTCTGGCCTGGGACTCCCAGAGGTTACAAAAGGTGCAGCACCCCCATCCATCCCCCCCCCCTTACTGGGATTGAACCCAACGGTGCTTTACCCTGGACCCACATCCCCAGTCTTCTTTATTTTTATTTTAAATGTTTTTAGTTGTTTATAGACATTTATTTATTTGTTTATTTATATGCTGTTCTGAGAATCAAATCCAGTGCCTCACACATGCCAGGCAAGTGTGCTACTGCTGAGCCACAGCCCTGCCCCTTATTTTTTAAATTTTGAGACAGGGTCTTGCTATGTTGTGGAGGCTGGCTTTGAACTTGCCATCCTCCTGCCTCAGCCTTCTGAGTCACTTGGATTACAGTAGTGTCTATTTTTTTCACCCAGGTTGTTCACCTTTACTCCAACCCCTTTCTGGAACTACTCTCTGCTGTCCAGAGGCCACTGCCATCAGACAAAGATCCTCCTATTTCTTGGACCTGAGTTGACAGTAAGAATGAACCACATTCTTCCAAGGTCTGCGTGTGCTGAGAGCAATGATGGAACTCTTAGACCCCACTGTTGTGGAGTCTGGCTCCCTCAGTTCCACACAGGACTTTGACTTCTGGTAGGATCAGGATTGCTCCCTCTACTGAGCTCATTCCACAGCCTCAAACCAAAGCACACAAATCCCAGAGTCACTAGAGAAGTCAGGGTGCTCCACATCTGACAACCTTGCCTGGGGGCTCCTACAACTGACAGTAGGGATGATGTTCTGTGTGACCACTTATCTTGGTGAAAGGTCCACTCACTGGCTCGTAGGGTCTTGCTTTTACTTGTTTTAGAGCCAAGCCCTCTCCCTAGGCTAATGGGACTTTTCCTCTTTAAATGGAATCCCTCCACTCCACTTTGGGTAAAAAGAATGTGGTAGAAAGGACGCCACCCTCAGTCTTAACAGCTCTGACCCAAGATCTAAGAGGGCTGACCCATGGCCGCGACTTTGTGGGGCCTACTTTATTATGAACTGCATGCGGGGCGGGGGGAGGGGGCTCTTCAGTCAAATTCAGGGTCCTCACCTCAATCCACAGAATTCACGCTCAGTAAAGTGGACGCCACACCTTTCAGAAGGAGGTCCTTCCCTTCACAGCGGAAGTGAGGATGAATCACATCCGGCCAACGGTTGCCTGGGATCTCGGAGGATTGACAGCAGGAATTGGTCACTAAGGGACCACCCTGTTTGGGAGTCAAGGATCCCTAGGTTCTTGCATTGGTATCTAGGCTATCCTCAGATTCCTCCCTCTACTTCCTTGTGTCACATGGTCTCCAAACAAAACTTACACCTTCCCCAGTTCCCACAGAGAAAATCTGAGCAGGCCTCATATGGTTCCTCCTGCCTGAGCCTCATAGGACTTATAACAGAGGTGGGGCTCTGTGAGCCTTGCTATTTGGGGGACAGGTCCTCTCATCAGCCCTCAGGGTCATCATTTTGATTTTGGTTTTGCCCAAGACCCACCCCCCCCAAGGTGGTGCCCCCATCCTTAGTTCACATTTGAATGCTCACCTGGATGAGTGACCAGTCTTGTAACTCTACTCACTGTTTGAACCTGCTATTCTCACATCCACATACTGTCTCCCTGTTAAGTCCTAGTTGGAAGTTAGAGGAATCCTCATATGACCACAGTCATTTGGGGACCTGCAAGAATAGACATCAGGAACATGACACTGTGGGACCCCACAGTTTTAGTTATGTCCTTCTGTCATTCCTCATTCAGGATCCTACATTTACATCTATTAAAGTCCAGTACTGAACTGAAGTCACTCTTTGTAAGGCTCTGGATGAATTCTAGATTTTGGAGTGGTTCCATCAGCAGTCTTCATTCATGGGAATCCTTATACTGACTACCCTCTCTTGATTAAAGGCTTCCATGGGAATTCTACATCAATGCTAAAACTTGACCAGTTTCCTGCCTGCAAACCTTACAGAATAGAGGTCCTTGTTCCCGGAGAGATGTGATGTTAATAAACTGCAACACAAGAGAGGGAGCCCAGTGACCAAATTGAGAAATCTTTTTGTTCCCAATTAACTTTCATCTTCATCAGCTAAGCTTTTGCTTTGTATCTGTATGTATTTTTGTCTTCTAAATAAATTTACTCATTTTATGTCCCAATTCAAAAACAAGGTTGGGATCCCAGAATAGATATTTCTCTGTCAGAGAAAACACACACACACACACACACACACACACACACACACACACACACACWGAGAGAGAGAGAGAGAGAGAGAGAGAGAGAGAGAGAGAGAGAGAGAGAGAATTTATTCCTTCTCTTTGCCAACCAGAGATGGG